ATTTCTCCGATCACAAATGCAGCCATGGTTTTATGTTTACGCGGCGCGATGCAACGCAACGCGTAAAAAGACAGTATAAATCATTATAATCCGTAATTATGTCCCCACTGGATGCAACAAATGCCTCGTTTGTAATGGGTTTTAATGTTTATGTCTCGTCGCTCCGGCCGGACACGGCATCGACAGTATGGTGAGGGGCGTAACATTTCTGTCTCACGCTTGAGGTATTCGGCCAATCATAACGCACTGGATAGCTGGCTAATCAGAGCACACCTCGCTTTTCAGACTGATGAGCTTTGTAAAAATCGACGCGTTTCAGAAGGCGGGGCATAGAGGAGAAACAATAATGTACAGTATGTGGAAAATAATGTGTTTTTTTAACTTTAAACCGCATAAACACATTTCATTACACCAAATACACAAAATAATGTTCTTTTTAGCAGCATCATATGACCCCTTTAAGATATGTTTTTTCAAAGTTTAACTTGCATTAATTTTACATGGCTTTCTAAACATGCGGACAAACAGAGCTGGGTAGTAACCGATTGCATGTAATCGGGATTAATCCGATTCCAACAATTAAGTACTTTAAGTTACATTTTAAAATACTCGTAATCAGATTACAGTTACTGTTTTGTTGATTGCATGATTACACATTATTCACACAATAGCAATAAATTATTCATAATTTATTGATTCTCCCTATAATTCCTCTTTTTCATCTTTTAAAATTTCCTTTCTAAAATAGCCTACCGCTTATAAACATTCAGAAAGTCCAATTTTGAAGAGAAAGTCCACATTCATTTTTAGTTGAATTATCACTCAGTAGGTTATTGAACCATGTATTACTTTGGAAGGCTCTTGTCTTTCAAACACATTCAAATGCACAAATTTACGTTATTTCTTATTTTAATGCAGGCATATCAAAACTTTGTCCACACCCTAAAAAAATTCTGGGTTAAATATAACCCAGCGCTGGGTTAAAAAGGGACAAACCCAGCTATTGGGTTGTTTTGAACCCAAACGCTGGGTCAAAACAACCCAAACGCTGGGTCAAAACAACCCAAACGCTGGGTCAAAACAACCCAAACGCTGGGTCAAAACAACCCAAACGCTGGGTCAAAACAACCCAAACGCTGGGTCAAAACAACCCAATAGCTGGGTCAAAACAACCCAATAGCTGGGTCAAAACAACCCAATAGCTGGGTCAAAACAACCCAATAACTGGGTCAAAACAACCCAATAGCTGGGTTTGTCCCTTTTTAACCCAGCGCTGGGTTATATTTAACCCAGCATTTTTTAGAGTGCAGTATTTAGCTATATGCTCAGATATATTGATATATTTTATTTTATTTGAAAATCTCCTGTGTCAAAACATTAATATTTTAGAAACACAAATATTTATATGAAATAACCTATGCTGATATTTTACGTCAAGGGCCACTAGGGGCCCACAGTCCCCTAATAAACAGAGCGACAGATTTTCAGGGTTGATGAACAAAAAATTTTTTGTGAAAAAAATTAATAAAACAAACATGATAGCTTACTGGATTTCAGTTGTGTTCAAATTCTGGATCTATACACTCTAAAAAATGCTGGGTTACAGTCTGTGGTTTCAACCCAAATTTGGGTCCAATGTGGACTAACCCAACCACTGGGTTAATTTCTTAAATTAAATTTTTAACCCAAAACTTAGGTTAGTCCATATTTGACCCAAAGTTGGGTTGATGACAAAATAGAGATTCCCCTTGAAAAAAAAAATAGAACTTAATAATTAATTAAAAGCAACACAGACAGTCAAAAGACCAGGGATACAGTTAATAAAGAATATACTACAATATTCAAACACCAATTAAAGACAAAACATTTAGAAAAGAAGAGAAGAAATAATGTATGCACAGACTAGGTTATTAGGACACACAAGTCTAAACAACACATTATTTCTCATGAATAAGTCAAATACATGTAAATATAAAGAAAATGCAAAGCACGTACTAATGAGGAAGTTTAGAGAAGAAAGGAAAGTGTATTATCAAAACTAGAAGGAAATGGGATGCTACTAAAATCAGGAAACAATCAATTATAAGGGCATTAGTTACATTTTTACATGTTATTAGGAAAATATATGTAAAGATCAATGAAGAAATGATTTTACACACTCCAATATCGTAGGTGGCGGTATGCAGCTTTTACGACGGACTTTCTGTAACCCGCCAAAAAAGCTACAAGAAGAACAAGACGAAGAGTTTCGCGGGAATAAATGTGGTTTTGTGTTTAAATTTGAGTTTAACCTTAAACAGAAGAAAATGTCCAGCACCGCAGTGGAACTGACAAATGGCCATTGCGCTGACGCAGAAAACAAGAGAGAAAACAAAAAACACTTTTCTCTGTTTTGTGATGAACGCGGTTATTTGGACCTGATCGAGTTCATTCTGCAGAACGGAGCCCGAAAAGGCGACCGAACCGGGACGGGGGTGATTTCTGTGTTCGGGACGCAGGCGAGGTACAGCCTCAGAGGTCAGTCAAAACAGCTCATGCACTGAATTTGATGAAAGCCGATTATAAGGAAAATGTACAAGGCAAACCAGAAAAAAAAAAGTCGAGTATAAAAACATCAACAAATGCAAGACGTGGTTGCTTGGTGGCATGCAGA